TTATATTGTAGATATATATACTATAATATATATTATGTAAATAATATATAGCAGTATATTATTATATAGAATATGTATACATATATATATCTGATTGGAGGTAGGGAGAAAGAGGTTGGAATGTCAGAAAATTTTGAATTAAAAAAATTAAAAAGAGATTACTAAAATCTGGGATTCCTCAAACCTGCTATTTATATGTTTGTTTTGTATTCTTCTCTCTTTCTTTTTTTATTTCTTTTATAGAAATGTTAAAATATACACAAAGTAGAGAGGATAATATAATGAACTCCCTATCGACCACCTGCAATAATTACCATTTTGCCAGTCTTGTTTTGTCTAGCCCTCCTTTTCTTCCTCTGGCATTTTTTAAGCAAACTAGTTCTATTTAAATACACCAAACAGAATTATGCCCGTCTGCCTCAAATTTCTTTTTTCTTCTGCAAACAAAAGACTCTAGAAGAGTTATAATATGATTTCAGGAAAAAAATTAAACAATGAAAAAATGTTATTTGGAAATTTCATCTCTCTCTCTTTCTCTCTCTCAATATTTTGACCTCTTGTTACACAAGAATAACAACAAACTAAAAGAGCAAAGGAGAGATAAATTTAAAAACTGAGAAGATTAATTTCTAAGGCACAGGAAATCTAAGCCAGGTTTGGCCAACCCCTGAGAGTACCTCTCACCTCTCTACTATAAAGAGCAGGATTTATCCCCCTCCCCCTCTCCCACACCTGAAAATTTAGGTCACAGTTAAGTTATGTCATTTAAAGTACCACTGACGTTTAACAAAAGTAGCAATCAGTATTCTATTCAGGTTTATATTTTTTTACTTTAAAATGTTTTCTAAATCTTAAACCATATACTATGAGGTAGCTTAGTAGAACTGCTACAATATCCTAAATGAGACACTTGAAATAAGAACCTAGTCTCTCCAAATCTTAGAGATTTTGATTACTTTGACCTTCTGCTGCTACTTTATCCTTTAAGACAAAGAATCCAGAGTGTTAACAACTATTCTCAATTAAATAAATGCATTATGTATTTATTCATTGACATACAATATTATTTATTCAGCCATTCATTTACATGTTCATTCATTCACTAAACACTTCTCAGGTCCCATACACATCTTATTGCTAAAATTTTTTAAGAATGAAGACCCTGGAACTCTATTATACTTCTATTTTCATAAAACTAAGCAAATCCATACCCTGAAAACTATGTGGGAATCAGGTACAAACCGGTAGTTTTAAATGTCTGGAGAGGAGAAATGCCAGTCTGGAAAGGGTATTTGCAAAAAGGCATAGTGGCAGGATGGTGGGGTGAGAAGTGGGCCTGGCTGGAAGGATCTCTATATGTGTATTTTTATCATCCATGTGTTGGATGAAGCGGAGAGCCGCCAGATAGCTTCTTTTCGACAGCTTGGAGTTACTGTTGGGAACAGATCCATGTATGGAAGCGAAAGCCGAAAGGCACAGATAAGCAGAGATCCAGCTATGCAAACCATGTTTAGAGACACTTAAAGGACAAGCATCCCAGGTCCCTTCTTTCTGGTAAATTTGGAGAAGCCACCACACCGGGTCTTTTTTCACATCCAGCCCATGTGGACTGAGCAGCCCAGGCTCGACAGAGGTAGGTGCAGGGCTTTTGTGATACAAGTTATCTAAAGGATCATTCGCGAATATTCCCTCCCAAGCTCTTGATGTCCCTTAAGGGAAGCTGCCAGATAATATTTGGAAAAAAAGGAAGATTTGGGTTGGGGCTTGCGACTAAGAGGTATTTAACAGCTTTGCCTTCACAAGACAAGGCAGCTTGGTTACAGAGGGAAAGTGACAACACAGAATTGCTGCCAAATGTAATCCCTTTGTCTGGGGTCACTTACCGTTCGGATTTTTGCGGATATGACTCCCTCGATGTTGCCAGCACCTTTGAAATGGGCCACAGCTTCCAGTGGATTCTGTCTGATACTTTGTATTTTAGGGTGGGGTAGGTAGGATTTACCCTTTTCTTTGCTTGCTCCTCCAAAGCTACCATAAACTCCTGTGCGGCTAGTTCTTCCTTAGATATAGGAAGAGCTGCTTGTAAACGACATTATTATTTTTGGCAGCTGAAGTCATTTTTGCAGTGTTTCTCAGCAGATCGGAGGTTGATTACATCCTGTTCAAAGATTCTTGGGTTGCTTTCACAAACATGGGGTCTTGCGCAAGTTGAAATTGCTGAAACCAGCTGTAAACACTGGAATTTTCTCAGTACCTTTAACATTTTCTTGCTTTCTTTTTTGTTAATGACTGAAAATTTGGGGACTTGAGGAGAAGTTTTTCCAAAGATATTTGTTGTTTTGTCATTAGGAATGTTTGAGGAATAGTAGATTGTGTAAAATAACAGAAGTCGTATGTCTCAGGGGTCCAAAGAAAACATGTGAATATGAAGACTGGAATAATACCGATATTGACATGCCTCCAGTCTATTTTCTAGAATACTGGTTAACCTAGCCAAATCATATCAATTACACTTTGAAATGCTATTCCAGTTAATTGCCAAGTTGGAATAATTAGATTATTACAGCAGTTCTTTTAAAATTGCTAGCAAAATCTGAGAACTCCTGCAATTACAAAGATCAAGAGAAAAATATTACAGGTCATGTCTATAAAATATATGTATATATTTGTAAGATTGAATTAAAATAGAATTTTTACACAAGATAATAGAATTTAAATTCAAGATTTCTCTTGTTGAGAATAAGGTGTCTATATTTCAAGTAAGGTTTGAACCAACTATTCATTTAACTAAAAAGTTTTCAATCTTATGATAGAACATGAGAGGAAAAAAAGAAAAATTGTGATTTTTCCTTCTCTAATGACAAAAGATGACATGGAAAATGATTAATAAACAAGTATAAGAGTAATAATAATAAAAGAGTTTGTAATACTGACCAAGAAGATGTTCATTGAATAAATTAAATAACTGGGAAAGGCAGTTCACTTAAGGGATATAGATAAAATGGCTTTAATTATGTGGTGGTTCCTTCAAGTTGTGAATGTTCCGTAATACCAAAAAAAAGTGGCAGAAAAAAGAAAACATGGTTCTATTTCCATAATAATACATTATCTTTATTAAAATAATAACACTAAAATATGGATGTTTTCATTGAATCATTCCTTTTCTGTCTAGTCTATTTACATTGACAACACATTATATTAATAACACATCACACTTACCCTTTCCACATTTCTAAAATAGGCTGTTTTGCTTCACTTAACAATACTAATATTCTGTATTAGAAAAAAAAGGGAATAAACTATGCCTTTTTTTTTAAACTAACAGAGACCAGCTGTCATAACTTTAGCTAAAGTGGAACAGGCCTACGAAAAGATGATTTTAAAATTAATTAAACACTACATACCAACCAGTTTTCCAAAAGGATGGCACAGCAAGAGTTTTGACAATTTTCAATATGTAAAGGTTATTATAAATTATATCACTAGTATTTGTGTTCAGATGCAATGCATATATGACATCATCTACTATTTTCTCATTTATTTACTGCCAAGTACATTTCCAATGTGCATCTTCATGAGTAATGTCTGCTCCTATTTTTCTTTAGCAAACAAATTTAAGAAGTGTAATGTAAGTAATAAAGAATGACTGCTTTTTTTATATAGAGTCTGTCAACATCTATGAAAAAAAGTTGACATAGTCAAACTACTTGTCCTTTTGACTTATGACTTCTTAAGCATTCAGTGATGACTATACATGTAGAAAATCTTGAAGAGATCATATTTTGAGAAGAAAATTGTATTGACAGTCTCATGTGGAAAAAAAAAATGAATGCTCTATGCTAAAGTTGAAATTTGTCCTAAGAGGATAGATTTGAGGCTTCTATCTACATAATTGGACCAGACTGGATAGCTCCTGGGCCTGGGCAGTGGCGTTACAAAGAGCAGGAGGAATAACTTTTTAGAGGCTTTGATGGGGAACAGTATCCCTGAATATTGGGGGTAAGTTTATATGAAAGTAAAAGTAGATATTTACTTTTCCAGAAGCATGGAAAATTTTGGCCCACAGGAAAAAATCATTAAGTTTCAAGGAAATGATAGCATTGGTTACTCGAAAAAAAAAAAAATCCCTTTGAGAAGTTTCAAATAAAATAAAATTTTCTCAGGTTATTAAAAACTGTGAGACAGTGAGTGGTCCCAGACAAACCACTAAAAATTTCAAGAAATTTCAAGAAAGCACGAGAGTAAAAGACAGTACTGGTGAGGAATTTGAAGACCAGAGAGGCTGTGTTCTTTCTCCCAGGTCAATCAATGGAAGGTGAAAGTTCTCCGGAGTCCAGATCACCTAGTTTTCTGATCAAAACCGATCAGTCCATGCTGCACGTCTTCTAATTTCTTAAAGTTACATGATATTTTCAAGTGTCATGGCAAGATATTAGAAGAAAATTCCATGCCAGAGAATTTTTAAAGGTAGTTTTAAGGCATATATAAAGTAATGAAAGGGGAATAAATTTCCACAGCACTTAATGCTGCTGAGGAGAAAATGGCCTTTCCTAATCCGCTGACTTCTTCCCCTGAGATGAGCCACGGTTCTCAACTCTAACTGCACATTAAAATCACTTACGATGGGTGATGTCCCCACTACACCCCCGAGAGACTAAATATGCTCACGGGTTCCAGGCAAGGGCAATTTGTTTTTAAAATCTACCCCATGAAATTCTACTGTGCAGCCAGGATTGATAACCACTTCCTTTTTTGCAATAAAAAAGTTGTAATCAGTCCAATTTATTTCAACAGAGGGAGTTAATAGAAGCACAGCTGAAGATTTTTTTAAAAATTGCTTTTTCCCAAAAAGGTGATTTCTTTGGAAGTTTTATTGATGTCGTCTTTGCTGACAGGGAGTTTCTATTTTTTAAAAAAGTAAAAGTTTCAGCCTATTTCAAAAGAATGTTTCTCTGAACTAAAGGATGGATATGGATCTTTTGGTATCGCTCATACTCCTTAACTTCATACTGCTGAAACCTATGTGACTGCTAGTCACAATTATTGAAAGATGAAAAAAGTATATGTGACATTATGGTTCTTAACTGCAGCTGCTAAACAAAATTTTATATTGTTTTAGCAAATTATCAAACAGCCATCTTGAAAGGGTGTATTTTGGATAGCAACAGTTCTAAAGAATAGGCAATCACTGCCCTTTTTTTGCCTGTTGTCTTTCTAAATGTCAAGAACTTTGGAGAGAGGGTGCATGATTTTATGCAGAAGATATATTAATTTATCATACATCAGATATATTAATATATCAAAATGTATGAATAAGAAACTAACACGAGCTAAAATACTAAAAGGATATGTAGGGCCACAAAAGACTCCTTCCATTTCAGTGGGAAATAAATACTAAGCTCTCAGAGACCTGAAAAAAAAGATTCTGGGCTGATGCAGGTAGAGATAAAATAAGTAACTTTAGATTTCAGCTCCAGGCAAAGAAGACTGTTCAAGACAGTAGGTGGAAGCAGTGATCAGAGTTAAGACTGCTAAGGTTGCCTGGAGTCAGATAGCCTGAGTTTCATTCTGTCTCTTCAATGCATTGATGGCTGAGTGACTTTAGACAGATAACATCACCTTCGTAAGCCTCTATTTCCTTCTCTGCAAATTGTGGACAAGAATAACCATAGTGAAGGTATTAAGTGGCAAAATGCTAATCAATAGTTTTACGTAGTGACCGATAAATGGCAATACCATCTTTGCAAGCAATATTAAATTCGAATGTTTTTTTCTAGAGAGACTGTTATCCCTGTCGCTAGAAATATTAAATAGAAGAGTTATCACATTTCAAGAAGAATATAGATGAATTCTTAAATGCCTTTCAACTCAGTTTCTAAAATCAACCCAGCATTAAAGTTGAGCATTTGGGAGATATTGATCAAATACTCGTCAATGGATTGATTATGAACATTGAATTCACCTCTTACTCCAAATCATACCATGAAGGTGAGCCTGGAAACTATTATGTAAGATATCAAAAATCAATACATACAGATATATGTTCACTCAACATTAACAGACACAAAAAATTTTCAAAAATGAAATCATATAATAGAAGAGAAGGACACCAGGTAGGAATCCATCGAAGGATTATAAACTGAAAAATGAAATGAAGTAATTTATATTTTTTAAAGTTTATTTTGGCAGCAGTAGGGAAAATAAAGTGTAGAAAAGCAAGCAAATGGAAAAAAAGCAGGTGATAATAATAAATACCCTACGAGTCAAATGTCTATATCATCAGTCATTAGAACATTTTTTAGTGTAAAATGGAGAACTATTAATAATTACACTGGATCAACAACAGTGAATTGGGAATGTCCCAGATGAACTGGGACATATCCTTGCCTTAATTAAAGGGCTGTTTTCAAGAATAAATGGGTACTGAGTGGGTGTTTTAAAAAAGCAGCTAAAATTAATAGCTGCCAAACTCTTTCAACAAATACTAGATTTATAAGATATTAATGGCCTATAGACTAAAAATAGTACTATGAAAGAATAAACTAGGGGCTACTAGATTAAACCCAGGTAAACTGATTTTTACCATAGAAGTTCTTGGAGTTTTTAATAAGCTAATCTGCTTTAAGAATATCTAAGTGCTATTTGTGTTACATAGTGTTTTTCAAAGTCATTTGTCCATAGATTTTATTTTTTCAAGGAGATAATGTCTTGTGACTCCAACCTTCCCTGGAACTCAATATGGGAAGTAATAGTCCAGGAGAAAGGTGTGGTTCAGAGATAGAGTGGAATAGATATTAAGTGTGATTTCAAGATATGATTCATAAATTTTAGTTAGATTGCTGGGTAGATAACTCAGTGATGTGAGGAGTCCCAGACCATGATTTAGACACAGAGTCACTCTAATTTGACTGCTACTGAAATGTCAAGGTTGTTCTGGTCTCTTGGAGGTGCAAAGAAGCCTTTTCCCATTTTCTATAAAAATTTAATATTTGCTTTGTTCATGCAGTTCAATGGACTTCAAT